CCCCCCCCGTGCATCGGCGGCTCGAGGCGACCTCGCTGCGCCGGCGCGGACAGGAGCCGTGAACGGGGCTGTCCAGGCGCCGAGGAAGGTCCCACCGGGGCTGGGCACGGTTTCCAGCCGCCCCCCGGTGCTGGGGCAGGAGCCACCTCTGCTCCCACAACCCCATGGGCAGAGGCGTCTGGTCCCCCCCCTCCCCGGGATGGAGCTGGGCTGTCCCGGGTCGGGCCCTAGGAGGGGGTGGAGGGAGGAAGGGCAACCTTTGTGGCCGCTGCTCTCTGTGCTCCCTGCCTGAGCTCCTGCTCTGTCCCCTGCCCCTCCCGCACCGCGCAGACGCTGCTCGTGTCACTCGCGGCACTGCGCTGCAGGGTGGCCTCCCCAGCCCCAGCCAGCTGGCCAGGCTGCACCCTCGCTCCCCCTGCTGGTGGAAGAGCAGCAGCACAGGTGGGGGTGTAAATGGCCGTGCGGATCCGGGTCAAACCCAGGAAAAGTCAGGCCCGTGTCAAACGAGACATCTCCTTCCAGCCTGGGCAGGCCAGAGCGGGACGCGAGGCGAGGGCCTGGCAGCAGCGGAGCAGGAGACTCCCCAGCAAAGGATCCCCCAGGCCACAGCGCCCCGGGCAGCACAGACTGCTGCCACGTCACTGCCCATTAGGTTCCCTTCTGCCCCCCAATGCCGGGCCTGATGGGGAGGCGCTCGGGGCAGAGGAAGTGAGAACCTGCGGGGGGGACACGGAGCCGCGGCCCCGACCGGGGACTGCCACGACGGTCGGCTCCGCTCCCCCTGCCTGGACAGGGGACGAGGGGAGCGGGGCTGGAGACTTGTCACACCCCGGGGGTGGCTCGGATGCGACATCCGGCTGCCCCGGGAGCGCCTGGCCCTGGCCGTTCCCACCTCTCCTCCCTGGGTTTTGGCTTCTCTTCAGCACTCAACTGCCCGGGGCAGACGCCGGCCACGGTCCCACCGCTGTCTCTGTGCACGGCGAACACAGCCCAGGCACCAGCCACTTTTCCGACGCTTTATTGGCCTTTTGAGATTACAGAGTCTTTATTGCTGCTCTAATACAATCACTCAGACATGAATATTTAAAACATCCGTTTGAAAAGGTTACGCTTCGCAATGTCGTCACCGACTGTAGATGTGACAGATTATTTCATTTTTGTCCTGGTTTCTAAAGTTCAACAACAGGATTCTCCTCCTCAGATCATTGTGCTGGTGTCTCCTCTCTCCGTCCCCCCCGCCTTTTTTTTCTTTTTTAATTTGTTACATTAAAAAAAAACCAAACAAACCCCCCGGGGACAACTCTGAGAGGAGGATCCCCAGATTGATTCGAAGCCAAGCAAGCGGAAAAGCTTACGGAAAAGCGGAATCGCATGGAGAAAGCGTTTTAAAAGATTCGAGGGGAAAAAAAGTCATCTAGGAGGATCTGGTGTCGTTATTAATTCATTATTTTTTTCCTTCTTGTATCTACACAGAAGATAAAATAGGTTTAAAATCAGCACAGACTCTGCAGGGAGGACAGCCCCACCACAGGCCACACCAGTGACGGTCGTGGACCAGGGAAGCGACCGCCCTCCGCTGCGGGGATGGGACCGCTATCTCCCCCGAGGCGGATCCTACTTCTCCCGCCGTGACCGATGCAACCCAGCGCTGCCTTCCCTGACGGCTCCGCTCCAGAGGCGACACAGCCGGCCAGCGTCCCCAGCGCCACAGAACAAGGTAGGGGGTGGCCGGCGGTGCCGCCGCGCTGGTGTGAAACGCCCGTGCTCTCACCAGCTCTCAGGGAGACCAGCTGTTGCCACAGGCCCAGTCGGTGCCCGAGTGCGGCCAGCAGAGCGATGCCCGCTGCCCGCAACGGGAGACTGCTCATAAGCCGGGCCGGGGGGTGCCCTGGGCTCCCGGCTGCACGAGACATTGCCAGCCCCAAACCCTGCCAGCCATGCTGCCGCATAGCCAAGGGCCTCAGTCTTTATCCCAGTCTGGGACACGCGTGCCCAACGCACAGCTGAGAGCGTGCTGGGAGAAGAGCAGTGTCAGCCATCGTTAGCCAAGGCTGGGATTTCACACCAGCGCCGTGACACCCACCTGGGGAGGCTGAGGCAGTGGGCAACGGTAGCTGCAGAAATACCATATTGCTCCTTAACTGACCCCGGGCCCGAGCGGTGAGAAGCTGACCTGCAGAGCCGAGGCAGACCAGGACCGAAAGCCAACACCCGTTGAACAGGCAGTGTCACACACCCGACGCAGCCCCGGGAGATAAAGAGCAGGTGACCATGCTGGATGTGTGGATGCGCCGTGAGACCCGGACACTGGCTCCACGTCAGACCCGCCGTCTAAGCTACATCAGAGGTGAGTTGCGTGTTTCCCGGTCCCTGGCTATTGGGGTACTGCGCTGCGATCGGCGTGTCGCGCTGCTGGGACACGCTCCCCTTCCAGGTCTGTCCCTTTCTCCTTGGCCGCTCGGGCAGCCGCCACATGCCAGGATCGTGAAGAGCAACATGGGTGGGGTGGTTTGTGGGCCTTTTGCCCCCCAAAGCAGTGCAGCCGAAGAGTGAAATCCTGGCTCCCGTGCAGTCAACAGAAGGCCTGCCCCTGATGGCCCGGGGACCGAGATTTCAGCTCACGTTGTAATGAAGTCGGGTCCCTACAGACTGGACAACTCAACCAGTGTCATGGAATAAGGCCAACCTGCCTTAGAAAAACACTTCAGGTGATCTCTTTCTAGAAATGTTATGATCCAAGTGTAATTCGCCAAGAGAAGATTCAGGGAACATCCCGATCACTGATCATTCTGCCCTTACACATGGCTGCCGAGGGTTTCCGACAGCACGTTAGAAGGAAAGCTCCATCACATGGGTTTTTTGAGGTTTTACTGAAAAGCAAAGAGGCAAGTTTGCTCTAGGGAGCAATCCTGATGCGGGACGAGCCAGCCTAGGAAGCAGTCGTCATCTCTAGGGGCGACAGTCCTACAGCCTGCAGGTAAGACCACAGTTCAATGGGGGGGGGGTTTGTGCATGAAGAAAATGCCAGAGAAACCTCTTTCAGGAAGGCTGAGGATTCAGAGAGCTTCCTCTGATCAGATGCGCAGATACCATGGTGGAGAGCATTGAATAAAGGTCTGGGTGCTCAGGCCAGTGCTTCTCGTGGAGGTTTGGCAAGCACTGGCTGAAGTTCTCGCAGTTTGGATACGAGGAACGACGTTCTCAGGATGATCGGTACGATAAGACACGGCCATCAAACAGTGATCTTGGGGGGTGTGCGTCTGGGTGCATTGCATGTACCATCCAGGCGGGACATCTACACCAGGACAAGCAATGATGCCATGGCACTCTCACCTCAAGACTCGATGTCTCGTAAATGCAACAGCGATTCTGAGCTGAAAACCTAATATTCAAGCCAGAGAATGCGGTGCAGTAATTGTGCTGGGGCTTGGTGCTCTCATAACCAAAGAAGATTTTCCAGAATTTGTTAAGTGATGAACTATGGAAATAAGATGCTGGCAGATCCAGCGCTGGGAGTCTGGGAAGCGCTTCTGTTAAACAGGTGTCGCTGTACACGGCAAGACTCCAGGCGAGGGCTGAAACACCGACTGGAGAAGGATCTGTAGCGTCAAGAACCGTCCTTGGACATGATCAACCTTGCCGCCTCCCTCCACGGCAGCGAGAAGAGTGCGCTCGGGGGGTGTCGTCCCCAGGGTTGACCCCGAGATGGAGGCAGCGCTTGTCAACAGAGCAGCAAGGCTCTCCCATGAGAGAGCTCGAGGCTCCACGCCGCATCTCAGGAGGAGATCGCTTTGGTGGAAGCGTGGCACTGGTCGTAAGCCGCAGAGAAGTACTGCAAAGTGGCTGAGTGGGTGCATCGGTGGGTTTTGCACTCCATGGACGGGAACCCTACAGTGTCCATCCGAGACTGCTTGAAAGCGGGCTCGTCTCTGCCTTGCTGGCTCCCCATTTCAGGCAGGGGCGTCCCCAGCTTGGGCTGTCAACTGAGCCCCTGGACTGCAGCTTCCAGCAGCGCTTGGGCTCGTGGTCAGAGCCGCCCCTTGCCAGACCAGCAGAAGGAAACGAGAGCGCTACCCTGGGGAGCCGCCGGGAGAGGCACGAGGGCAGCTGCACCCCTTCAGCAAGAGCAAGAGCCAACGGGGCGGTGCTAGTTTGGGTTTAAAATGGTGGGAGAAGTAAAGAGCGGAGCCCCCCACCCGGCCCTGCGCACTGAGGTCTGGTTCTTGCGACTGCCGTGGATTTTGCTTCCATGCAGAAAACGGGCACCCAGAGTAACGTCCTGCCTCAAAATCTGCTCTCGCCCGCTTCCCTCCACACCCGCATATGCCAGTAGACGGACAGCGATCGCGGGTTACTTGAAGCTGACAGAGTCTTTGCAGCGAATTCACTCAGCCAGCCTTCCTTTTTGCCTCTGACTTGCTTCCTCTGCCTCCCCCCAACAAAAAATAAAAGAACAGGAAAATGAATTAAAAAAATCAACTGTCTCACAGTCCCATGGCAGTAAAAAACACCATTGGCAGAGGCCGCATGTACAGTATTCTAGTTTAATAAATAAATAACCTAACACACTGTCTACTATGTGAGCAAGTCCAGCTCTGACTTGGGAAGCTTGTACTGTTTCGTCCTGTACAGTAGTTGGGAAAAGACGTGAGTTCTTCCTTGCGCTTCTTCTGGCTGCGGAAACTTAATACCTAGGAAAAGAGACGAGACATGAAGCTTTCAGTGAGCGCAGGGGCGTAAAACGCACGCGGTTCTCGACTTATCGGCCTCCGACAGGTCTCGCTTGCCCCTCACCGATCATTTTTGCGGTTTGGGATTTGGGAGCCTGGGCGAGTTGTCTGACATGACTCCAGGGACATCCTTCTCTAGAGCTCACCAGGACGAGGGAAGTGTTCACCCCCCGCTCCGACAGCTCTGTGGGGGCCCACCCACTTGCTTTCGTGGCAGAAAGGAGCGCTGGGACTTTAATGAAGGGGAAGATGTTCTTTCTAACTGGCTGGCCCCAAACAGCGACTATCTGAGGTCTCCTACTGCACTGCACTGCCAATATCTGTCACCTGCTCTGTGCAGACTATGAGGAAGCCAGAGCCCACTGGGAGAAATGGGGAGGGGGCGTTAAACAAGTGGAGGTAGATGCTCAAAGGCACAAAGAGGAGAACAACACGTCAGGAGGACTATCTGCCCCGACATGTGATGGAGAGCACATTGCATCGAGAGGACGCTGCCCACCGCAGTCTCCCTGCTTCACCCGTGGCAGGTTCGGGTGTGATGTCTGTGTGGTGTCAGGGTTGACCGTGTCAATCGAGTCTGGATTAACTGTGTCACGTTGGACAACGGATTTATACAGGCTGGTTTGGACAGGGCTGATCCTTCCTCAGGACTAGATGATCTCTGGAGCTCCCTTTCAGCCCCACTTCTCTATGACTCTTTCCCGAGGAACGTGACCCTGGGTAACGGGCCTGGGTGCCCGTTCTGTGCTCGTCGAGCTTGAAAAATAATTGGGCATCTGAGCTGGCCAGATGGTCGTGCTGCGAGCTCTGCTGCTTTCCAACGACAGCTGCCACCGGGTATACCCGGTGGCTTCGTCTCAGCAAGGCGCCGAGTCAGAGCTCTCCCTGTCCTGCACCCCCACTGCGCACAGCATGTTGGGACACAGGAGGACAGGGGGCCTTCTGGGTCAGTCTGGCCCCACCTGGCCAAATGGCAAGCACCAGGTCACTAGTGATACCCTCCCTCTGGATCAGTGAGATCAGGCTCTTAGGCCCCTGCCACACGTTACATATATCATGCAATTAACTGGTGAATCATGCCATAAATTTAGACCAGTCATACGTGCAGAGTAATGATGAGCATGCCGTAAAAATATCCATCCGGCTATAAAGAGAGCTGATCAGCTACAAAGTTAGTGGCTGAAAACGTGTAATAACTTTACAGCAGGTTTCAATCCAGCTTTAGTTTGAATGTGTGGCAGGACCCAAATCGCGCACGTTCTTGCTCACGCGGAGAGCTTCGAGCTGATTCTCACACACACGCAGATGTTGGCAGCTGTATTACCCCCTCCCCGGCCTCCCAGAGAGGAGCGGGCTGCCCCAGGCCAGCACCTGTAGTAGTTTGGTTTGAAAGGCCCGTTCTTATTCAGTCCCAGGTATTTGGCTTGCTCGTCCGTCAGCTCGGTCAGGTGCGCATCGAACGTTGGGAGGTGCAGACTCGCCACATACTCATCTGGAATGAGATCAAAGCCTGGGAAGTGAGCGAGGCCAGGGGACAGCCCCTGGGTCTCCCCGCTCAACACCTCCCTTCTGCACGGAGTTCATGGAAATCCTTGCTACACAGGGTTTTGCAGACTAAAGTCCTGAACCAAATGCAACGGTCTGCTGTGGCCCATCCTGCCTGTAAGAGGAGTCCTGTCCCGGTACAGAGTGCAGGGCCTGCTCTCCTGGGCGTTCATGCCCTCCGGCCGCTTTAGTGTTTCCTCCTCTGCTCACCCATTTAGGTCTCATCAAGCAGTGCCAGACCTGGAGGGCTGTGGCTTGGGCAGGGGTGTGGAGATAAAAGGCTCCATCCTGGAGCTGCAACACTGCTGCCCACCTTCCCGCAAGGAAGAGCTTGGGGTCTCCTCTCTACAGACCCTGAGACGTGCAAACCTCCCGGGAAGAGGAGCCTGCTTACAGCGGGTCTAACAGGCCTGCTCAAGGTGATGCCCAAGGGGCTGACTCAGCTCTCTGCTCTCATTTCCCAGACAGCCTAGCAGGAAGCAAGGAGACAAATACAGTATGCCCAAGCCACTGAGGTCTCCCACCCCTGCTCCACCTCCATGACAGGAGAACAAGGTGCCAGGTCCATCCTTACCCATCTTCTTCGGCAGCAGGTAGACATCCTGCTTGTAGCGCCCTTCCGGGGCGTTGTACAGCTCTATCAGTGCCAGAGCCTGCAGAGAGAAGACGTCGGGCTGAGTCACCCTTGTTTTGGTCCAAGTAGACAGCATCAAGGAGAGGCCGTGGCGCTAACCAGGCTCCTGCCTCCTGCACCTGGACCCCACTCACCTGAGTGGTTGCAGTGATGGACAGCACAAAGGTGGGGACGGTGGAGCAGCTGAGGTTCAGCAGACGGCCCTGCAAGACAGAATAAGACTGTGGCCTTGCCACGTGCCTCGGGCTGGAGGGGCACAGTGCCCTCCCAAATCTGTGCAGGAGATGCAGGGGCGATTCAAGCTACCAGTGACATGTCCCCGTCTGGCTGGGAGCGCAGCAGCTCTCAGACAGCGCACAACTACGCTCCACAGATGTGGAGGTTCCCTACGGGACCTGCTGGGAGATCTAGGGGAGCAGTAGTGAACTCGGCTGGACCCAAGCCAGGATGCTGGGATTAGCCTTTGCAGCCTGGTGAAACCTGCTAGCAACCGGCATCCGCAGTCATGTCTCCCCAGCACCCTACTGGCCATGGGTTTAGTCACCCAGGGAGTTCCCCCTGGCAAGTTACCAACAGCCACGTCACTGCCAAAAGATTTCCCCTGATCCGAGCGTTGACCAGCCGGGCCCAGCTTTAGTCCGGCCCTCGCTAGAGCTCACAAGCTGGGGTGGACTGGATGTGGGGAGGCAGGTGGACCTGCACGGGGATGCTGCCTCCTGCTTCTGTTGGGAAGCCCTTGGAAATGCCTCCCAAGAGCTGACTTCCTCAGGCTACAGGTCGCAGCTCCAGGGAAGCCATGTATGCATTGCTCATCTTCTCAGCAGTCCTCAGCTGAGCTACGAACAATAACTGAGAGGTCAGCTGAGGAGAGTTAATGCTGAGGAAAGCCAGGGAGGGAACTGCCGTGGGGAAGAGGCTGTGAGGGGAACGTCTAGTTTGGGCAGACACCACAGGGATGGGGATGTCCCAAATCATCCTCGCCCAAGAGACCTTCCAGCCCATGCAGCAAGGCTCTGAGGCTCCCTGGCTGGGTTACAAAAGTGACCTACAAGGCCCCTGACCTTCACGTGCCGCTTACCTCTGCCAGCAGCACTATCCTCTTTCCGTCTGGCCAGATGACGTGGTCTACTTGAGATCTCACCCTCTCCCAAGTCAGCTCAGGGGTCCGCAGGCTGGCCTGGAACATGGGGTTCCCGTCATTTAAAGAGCCGGCAATGCGTCAGGAAAGGGAAACCGCACGGGGCCCCCTTCCACCCACTATGAATCGTGCTGAGGAGCTGCTTGCTCACTTATCACAGCCCACGCTCTAGCAACAGCCAGCGCCTGAACTCTTCTGACTGCAAAGGCAGCGATTAACTTCAGGCCCATCCATCACTGCTAGCACAAAACAGCTGGTAGGGCCAGGAGTGCCGAATACAATGGGTGCCCCTACGGATGCCTAGAGCAGTGGTTAGGCACCTCAACAGGTGACCGACTGATCTCTGAGCCTTTAGTTGCTGCAACAATGAGGGGCAGGAGAGGGGAACCCCTGTTTGGACCCTAGGAGAGTCCTGTCCCCACCCCCACGCCCTGGAGGGACTCCCGGTCCTTACCACATCTATTTCGGTGTTGGAGTGCCCCATGTTACACACAATGCAGCTGTTCTTCATCCGGTCGAGGTGTTCTCTTGTCACCACGTTCTTGTTGCCTTTCAACACAGAAGGTTGTGGTGCTAAAGACCAACGCGGACCACGATGGAGCGCAGGAGTAACGTTATTATCAGACAGCGACAAGCAAAACGCTCCCAAGCACCAAGAACGATGCTCATAGTTGCCCGCTCTCCCTTGCCCGAAGTGCAGCCCTGCCTGCCTGGTTTGCTTCTCTTGGTCTCTCTCCGAACAGCTCCCTGAGCCCATGTGCCCACTGGGGTGCTTTTGGGATAGGGCTGGGGACTCATGTGGCCTCCTGCTGCAGTATTTATACTGGGGGTGGGTGCAAGGTGCATGTAGGGAGGCATGTATGGACAAAGGCTAACACACCAGGGATATTACAGGCCTGTTACATGCAAAGCCAACCCTACAGCAGCCAGGAGCCCGTGGTCCCAGGAGAGAAGCTAACAGGAAAGCATGTGCTAGCTCAGGGGGCAGCCCCTGGCTACTGAGGGTTAGCAACTGGACACGCATGCTCCAAGCAGCCAGGTTTGCATCTTCACTGCCCGCTCTTTTTGGAAGTGCTCGACCTGCCGCTCAGGTGCCCTTCACCTCGCAGCGAGCCCCCCCTGCCCTGTGACCCACGCACCTGTACAGGTGATGACAATGTCGACTTGTCTGATGACCTCGTTGAGCTTGACGAGCCGGAACCCATCCATGCTGGGAGGAAAAAAAATATACAGAGTCTGAGGATGGACAGGAATAGACGAGGTTTGGAGGATCCCCAGGGGACCGGAGCCAGAGACGGGGCTTCCTGAAGGATCTGCACTACCCCAAGAGCAGGGGCAAGTCGAGCTGCTACCTCAGAGGAGCTCAAGTGCCTGGCGACCAAGGAACTGTTGCTCTGAGGCACTAAGTAGGCAGGTTTGTTTTACAAAGGGGCTGAGCACCCAACAACTCTCACAGACACCAATGGTTACCAGGGGTGCCAGCAGGGCTGGAAAGAAAGCTGGTTTCTTTTGGGATCCAAAGATCCATGCCCCTTGCTACAGGAGCTTTAGCCTTTGTAGGAGGGGGATGGACCTCTACCTGGGATCTCTTGAGTGTGGTTTAACCACCTTTTACATTGGCTGCCGTGGTTCCCCTGCTTTACCTGCGTCTGGTTCAGCCGTGATGTCAGTGTTGTGTCAAGGTCAATAGTAGTTTTACTAAGAGGTTCAATTATGGGTTTGTCTGGGGATGGCGTGGATAGGGATGATCCTGCCTCAGGCAGGGGTTGGGATTTGATGCGACCTCTGGAGTTCTCTCCCAACCCTGCTTCTCCATGATCCCAGCCTAAACTTGCCCTCTGCCTTGAAACCTCCAGGCTCAGAGATTTTGTGGGCTGACCTCTTAATCTCATCTTGCAAGGCCGTCCCCCAAATTCAAATCCCCCCTGCCATCTTATTCCTGTTATATTCATGAGCTAAACTGGACGCAAGTTTTCTCCCTGGGGTTTCTGGCCTCACTGGTGCAGCACTGAGCGCACCGCTGGGGTGAAACAACCGAATGATTGAAGCAACAATTCTGTTCACACGCGAGGCAGAGCAGAGCCCAGCTCAGTCCCCTGCAGCTGATCAACACCCGTGTTTGGGTCTAAGTAGACGGTATCAAGGAGGGGCAAACCAGATCTGCTAATTAAGCAGCCTCCGTTAGCCCTTTTCTGACTGTAACTGTGCTCCAAGTGTGTGTTGTGAGAAGGGAAGGGGCTATGTGTTTATTAAAGCCCGTAACAGCTTCCAGCACTTTGCAAAGCGACCCCCCAGGCTTGGTATCCCTACAGCACAAGTGTAAACAGCTTCACTGCAGCCAGCCGGGTTTCCTATGGAGGAACCCAAGCCAGAGATCGCTGCAGCATGCACATGGGAAGAGAAGGCAACATGCGCTGAGCCTCAGGGGTGATGCTGGCAGCTGCAAGGCACGACTGAAGCCCAGAAGATGGGAGCCTGGCTGGGATGGTACGGGACGGATGAGCCTTTTATCGTGCTAGTGGCACCACGACACCTTTGAACTGCTTACTGCTTCTTCTAGCTGGAGCAGTGGAGTTGGCTTGGCAGCGGACAGCTTAGCAGGCAGCTCCCTAGGAAAAAAGACCCCTCTCCTGCAAAATTTCTGGATCCCTGGGAGCCACATGGCCCTATGTGCCGGATTGGGCCAGCGAGCAGCCCCGGACCCAGTGCACGGGGTCAGTCCATGCATCGGATCTGGTCCATGGACCTGCTGTAGAGGGATTGTGCCCTCGCTCTCCCTGCTACAGAGAAAAAGCCACAGCAGCACCCAGGCCTTGGGCACCTCTTCTTACCAGGCCTGCAGGGCACAGATTGGATCGATCTCGGTCACGTACACTATGGAGCCCATGGCCTTCAAAGCCGCGCAGCAGCCCTTTCCGACCTGCAGAGAGAGAACAGCAGAGAGGGAGTGGGTGAGATGCCGGCGGCTCTGTAGAGGGAATTCATGGGCTCGGCTAATCGGCCAAGAGCTTCCCTAACATGTTTGGCTGCGCACTCGTTCCTGGAGCTTAGTGGAACAGGCGTTCACCGTGTGCATTCGATTCTTATATCTCAGTCGAGCCACCTGATGTTTGCTCAGGGACTCGTGTGAAATGAGCTGGGGGTTCTCCATCCAGCTCCTGGTACACGAGTGCACACCCGACTGGAACTAGTCCGCAAGCCGAGCCCTGGGAAGAGAGGTTTCTTTCCACTGGGGAAGAAGAAAACACTGGCAGATACAACTGAAGAGGGATTACCATATTGTCACGTACAACACACCTCTTTCAAAACCCGGGTGTTCATCTTAATTCTGAGGTGCACTGTATGCAGGCAAATAAGGCAACTGATTTGCCCCAACTGTATTTTAATACGCCTTGTTGTAACTGCACATGTATGGCTACGTTTACATCAGACGCTACTTTTAAGATCTACTGGTACAAGAAAAAAATGCATGGAAATTTGTAGGTTAAAAATCCTATTTTGTCTAATAGGGCCGCTCCCTTCTGAAAGGTTGCAGATAAGAGCAAGTGCAGGGAGGAGCCCTGGGGACATGAAGTGCCCTCAGATAGAGCCAAGCCCAGGGAAATTAATTTTGCATCCACAAGCAGCAGCAGCTAGCAAATGGTATTCAGTGATGAAATATTAAAGCCTCACCTCTCCGTAGCCGCACACCACCACTTGTTTTCCTCCAAACATCATGTCTGTCGTCCTTTTAAGGCTAAGAGAAAAAGAAGATTAAAAAACCCCACAGATTTTAGACAAGTATCAAGAGATGGCGGTAACCAGTGAGTGCTGCTGACAGGCTGGATTTGGGGGTTAGCTGTTGTGAAATCCCCTCTATCCCCACAGACATCGCTCCATCTGGTGGGACCAAGTCAGCTGCTCATGCTCTAAGGACGCAGGGGAAGAACCTCAGGTTTTCACAGAGTCACAGAAAATGAGGGTGGAAGGGACCTCAGGAGGTCATATCTAGTCCAACCCCCTCCCCCAAGCAGGACCAGCCCCAACTACATCATCCCAGCCAAGGCTTTGTCAAGCCAGGTCTTAAAAACCTCCAAGGATGGAGACTGCACCACCTCTCTAGGTCCGCGTTTCTCAACCGGTGGGCCGAGACCCAAAAGTGGTTGCAAGAGTATCTGAAAGGGTCATGAGCAAGTCCCAGAAAAACGTGCAAAAGCACGGGTTTCCCCTTGCAGGCTGGCTGCTTGGGACGACTGGAGGTAGCGGGTGCATGTGCATCTCCACAAGCAGACGCACGTGGCCAGCACGCTGTCCGGAGAGCTGGGGGTGGGGAGGAACGTACGTGTGTGTCTGGCACTGAGGAAAAGTGGCTGGGCGTGGGACTGTGGCAGGGCAGGGGGAGCAGGGAAGGGAAATGCTCCTGGCCCTTCAGTGGCAGAAGAGGGTGGAGACGGTTCTTCGCAGTGGGGAGCTGGGTGCCTGGGCTGGCGGCGCAGAGCCAGTCCTGACACACACAGGGACCTGCACTCACTGCTCGGTGGGTGGGACGGAAGCAGCATTTGCTGCTCATGTTGTGGCCCAAATGGGATGGGGGCAGGTGGGGGCTCCCTCTGGTAGGGCTGGGAGAGGCAGGGGGCTGCGAGTTGGGGGTGAGGGGCCCCAGCATGGCGCAGGTGGGCAGGGGACTGTGGATCAGGCACCAGCAGGGCCGGGGGGTGTGGAATGGCACAAGCCATCAATCTTGGCAAATGGTGCCCCGTACGAAAAAAGGTTGAGAACCACTGCTCCAGGGACCAGTGCTTCACCACCCTCCTAGTGAGAAAGATTTTCCTAATATCCAACCTCAACTCCCCTTGCTGCAACATGAGCCCATTGCTCCTTGTCCTGTCATCTGCCCCCACTGAGAACAGCCCAGCTCCATCCTCTTTGCAACCCCCCTGCAGGGAGGTGAAGGTGGCTATTCAATCCCCCTTGGTCTTCTCTTCTGCAGACTAAATCAGCCCAGTTCCCTCAGCCTCCCTCACCAGTCCTGTCCCCCAGCCCCTGAACCATTTTCACTGCCCTCAGCTGGACTCTCTCCAACTTGTCCACATCCTTCCTGTAGTGGGGGGCCCATGGGACTCCAGATGTGGCCTCACCAATACCGAATAGAGAGGAAGAATCACTGCTGGGGCAATGCTCCTACCAATGCAGCCCAGGATGCCGTTGGCCTTCTTGGCAACAAGGGCACACTGCTGGCTCCTGTTCAGCTTCTTGTCCCCTGTCCCCCCAGGTCCTTTTCTGCAGAGCTGCTGCCCAGCCAGTCGCCCCCAGCCTGCACTGGTGCATGGGACTGCTCCCTCCTAAGTGCAGGACTTTGCAGTTGTCCTTGTTGAACCTCATGAGATTTATTTTGCATTTTCCTACTTTAAGTCTGATAGCCCATTGAGATGAAAATCCTATTGAATTATATATGTGCCTTCAAGGGCAAGCTTTGGCCCACTGGCCTTCTAGGAGGTCATAGAGAGCTTGCCTCGAGTCCCTCCAGGGCCAGTTTTCCCTATGGCACCACTGGCTACAGCCAGCCCCAGCACAGGGCTGGGATGAAGGACAGCTGCCTATGTAGCACCCCCAAAAAATATCTTCTGACTCTTGGGACCAGCCTTGCTTTGCACAGAGGAGACTGCTGCCGAAGGGACGGATGAAGAGCAGCTTCCTGGTACAACCTGGCTGCTCTGCACAAATAAAAGTCTTCCTTCCAGTTTCTCTCCTCTTGGCATCTGTGCAAGAGCGTCCTACATTGCAGTCCATTTTTAGCCTGCATAAATAGGTTAGCAGTGCGGGGAAGGTGAAGAGCTCTTACATTTTCCACTGAATTCAGAGAGAAGCCTTGGAGGATTTAATAGCCCCTTGGCACAGCTTGATACGAGAGGGCAGAGCCAGAACTGTATGACCTGCATCCCGATGTAGCTGCAGCCATCGCAGCTCAACACAGCGCAGAGTTTCCTTGTGGCCTGTAGGCACTGAGAGCTAACACACACTCCAAGCACACCGCGAGTTATTTCTGGTATTAGGAAACAATTCTTCAGACCGCCGGCAGCAGGGAGTGTCTTCCAATGGGGGTATGTTGCCCAGCTCAGTGGGGCCCCAACCCTGGACTAAGGCCTGCATGTGCCTGTACAGTGCAAGTAAACCAGGGTGATTGACCCCACAGCCAACATGGTTCTTAGGGATGTTGCAGTTCATGTACGAGCTGCCGTACATGAACTTGCACCTCGGACACACAAGCTTGAAACCTTGAGCACTGACTCTGTGCTCCTGTGCGAGGGTGTAGTAGGCAGCCAGGCTGTCACCTTCCTTCAGTTACTGATGCTTATATGGGGAGCTGAGGACATCCAAAGCAGGGAGGGAGGGTGGGTCCACCCTGGTTCCACAATGACCACATCATTTTGAAGGACTAGAGCTGAAGTAACCATTCCCTCTTCAAACGGGCATCAGTGAGGATCCCCTGTAGGTAACCAGCAAGCAGCATCCTCTGGCTTCGAACAGATCAAACAGAGCCCAGAAGGGGCCTTGATGGCTAGTCGGTTGAAGAGTATCCACCAGCTTGTAGCGCAGCACGATGCCCTGGGCCACTGCTTATTCTTTGCAATGAAAAGCACTCAGCTGATTACATGTACTGCTCGCATAAAGACTCTGCTAAAGCAGCAACCAGTGTAGGCCTCAGGGGAGCCATAACGGATACATGAATGGTTTACACAAGTTTAAG